TACGGGAAGGGGTTTGAAATGTATCGAAAATTCTCTTGGACACCCAAACTTTGGAGGTTTGCCCTCCCTCCCTTTCACCCAAGTTCCCCTTCCAAATTTGGAATTTTCTTGAAAACAAATACAGTATGAAAGCCTAGAACTGCAGTTTATCTGGTATACTGTTAAAGTCAAAAATTCTACAGAAAACTGCTTTGAGGGACAATTTTGCCCAATTGTGAGCGAGAGTTGGGCGCGCCAAAAAGAGGCGTGGTCCCACGAGCAAGCTACGTGCAAATCCGCATTGTCGTCAAAGGGTTAATTCTAACAGGAGTGATGTTCCGCGATTAATTTCATGATGGTGTGAAGGGGGAAGGGGTCCATTCGCGGAAAGTGGTTTATTTAAAGGGTATGCTTTCGTAGATGAAGTCACGCACCCGTGGTTTTCATCTCCCAGGAATTGGAACAGAGACCATGCGGTGTCATGTTTTTTGTATACTTTCAGCTTATGGTTAGCTCTGTAGGTAAAGAATCTAGCTCTGAACACCTTTCCATTTAGCTCAACTGTGTCGGAGAAGCTGGCAGCATTCACTGACCTTGAGAAAACGGGAAAAGTGCTGCTTGCAAATGACGAAGTGCTGAAATGGGCTCGGCTTCTTATGCGGATTAAACGGCTTCCTGACGATAATGAGGCAGGAATTTGCAGTTGTTTACACATTCTCCTGTATTCATTTGAAGGCTAAGATAATTGGTCAGAAAAACCGTGCAACGATGATAGTCAGATTAAGTGCCTAAGCAAGATGGAGTAAATCGAAAGGAGCTTACTGGTGGCATTCAGATATTTGCGCAATTATGTCGTCACATTATATTGTCATTGGACTCGTCAGCAAAAGATACGAACTGGGCTACATTGTTCCTGAACAAGTCTACGATAGCTGCGGCTAGCAAAGTTATTTCTGATATCATCTGCGTCATTCCTCAATCGCTCATGTATATTTCGGTAAGGCTAGCAGTCTTTCAATTTCTTCCTGTTACTGCCCTTTTGATGCCTTTATTCTCTCCGTATGCAAAAAGGGAGACCTTCGGGGGAGTTGTCGCATCTCCACAAAATAATATTGGCTCCTCCCTCCTGCATAATGATGGCTATTAGTTTTCTTGGGTAATTCACATTATAAATCCCAGAGCGGGATGTAAAGATGCGGGGCAGCTGCTGGGTCTCGCGCTAGAGGGGGGAGCAATCTTGGTGAAATGGAAGGAGCACAGTTTAGTGGCTCTCTCAGCAAGAAAACCTAATCTCTTGGCAAGATTACTCAGTTTTGAGCAAAACCTTGGCCCCAACAACAAGTCAACATTAATCTTTTGATTTGTCTTGTTTTGCTCAGAGGATAAAGGACGGGAGCTCATTTGAACGGGAAGATCAGTTTTGTCCTGTATATCCGTTCATATGACTCTGTTCCTAGGGTGCCCGTGTCGCTGAGGTTAAAACATGGCAAACATTTATTCATTTTTTGGTTGTAATGGGATCATGTAATGGTTGGCTCCTTGTTCGGAACGCACCCCAGGTGAGTGGCATTCGCGGTTTTGTTTGTTGATTACCTTATGCTTTAGTTTTTTTTCATGCTTTTCGAAATGACTGTTCTCACTCGCAAGGTGGGTTTTCAGGTTGTTTCAGAAGTGCTCAATGATTCTGGTCTAGTAAATGTGTTCTCTTTAGCGTGGGGACATGCAACTGGTCGTCTTGCAGTGTATTCGTTCATATTCATTAACTTTCATTGTTTGCCAAGTTTTAAAGTGGTGCGATTTTTCAGTAGTTCTCTATGTTTCTGCTCGAGGCATGAGACAAAAACCTTATTGTTAAGCGTCAGCGCGGCTGAATTGCTCTCTGTGCGATACTGCATGAGTTCGGTCAAAATGCGACGAATCATTAGTACCATTTGACCTTCATCCCAGTTCAAGTTCTCACGGTGTCCTGCCATGTTGTTTCACTTTAGCAAAGCGGTAAGTTCAGATTTCTTCTACTATCTATCTATGTGTATATTTTTATATCAATCGATTTGATCGTTGGCCTTTTACTTTGGTAGCATTTGGATGCATTTGCTCACACTGGCGTTTGTTGCGAATCGATGTCTCACGCATTTGCGAAATTCACCGGACGTAGTGGAAAATATAGAACCACAAAAGACCATCAATTTACTCGGAAATATAATTCATCTGGGATATCTAGATGAAGAAGTTAGTCCCACTATTGATCTAATAGTCTCGGAAGGAACTGTGAATTTTTTTCAGCGACGGCTCACAGTGTCGATAGTTCGATGTGGCCAGGGTGGTTATTGGGATTGGGGTATTGGCCCAAGTACGAGTTGTCTCGTTTTGAGTCTTGATGGGATGTATTTCTCTTTTGAAACTTTTAGTCTTTTCCAGATCTTGCCGTTCGACTGGGCGAGGAGTGCTGGTAGTATTTGAATTCACTGGCATCATCTTTTGTACATTATAAGTTGCGCTATATCTAGGTAGGGGGCTTATTGAAGTCATTGCCTCACTCTTTGACAGATAACGAGTCGTGCTAGAAAGCACCAAGTCTCTCGCGCTCACCTCGCTCCTTGCGACCACCGCTCCCCTGTTATGGGGGTTTTAACCCGCATTAGTAGTGCAGACTTTCGCAGATAGCGCGGTTGAAGGAGGTTGGATGCAAAGTCAGACCGATATGGTAGTTGCCAGTGAAAAGACATTGGAGGCAGCGGTTCAACACGTATCAGTTTCTTAAGGAGCGTTTCCAGTATAAAATAAAGCCAACCCTATTATCTAAGAGTCACTCCGGTCTATTGGCGTTTCCCTCTCTAAGGCGAGGGCTTGCGGAGCGAGCTGTGCGACAACTGCGGGATGTCGTCCCTCGACTGCTTGCGGAGCAGCTGCGTCAAGGGTGCGTTGGGGGGCGGTGAGTTGTGCGGGTGCACTGCCGATTCGTCCGCTCTTGCTGGTCACACCCTAAAGGGTGAAAAAAGTCATGGAGCCAAGGCCACCTACTTCCTCATGACGGGACCAAAAGGAATACTTGCAGGTGCATTTTCAAAATTGGATAGCATGAAGGTTAGAAAAATGAGCGCAAGACTTGGCAAACTCCGTGAATTTTTTGTTTTTTCTTTTGTCGTTAGGTTTCCATTATCTCTTTTCTGTTATTACTTTTTTTTAATACCACTCCTTTCTAAATTAAGTAATATGCAGTCCTGTAGCAGAAATTATTTCAAATCTAAATAGACGGAGGAAGTTTGATTGGAAGCGTTGCCTAAGGTGAATTGCTGTGTTCTTTAGAACTATGGAAGAAGTTAGGAGGGGGATCTTCATCCGAGCCTCAAGGAGAAATGGAAAAGGAGACTCCACCTACTCTCGCAGCGGTTGTATGTCAACTTTATATGACAGCATTGTCAACTATGGCTAATATGAAGAATGAGATCATTGCAGGTAACTGGATTGATTTGTTTTTTTTCTCTCAAGTTATTTCTGACTTAGTTCTCCGTACTTTAATGTTGGGTAATGCAGTTCATCAATGAATTCCAAGTGTAGAAGGTTACAAAGAATGTCGCTGAAAATTTTTTTTTTGTGGTAACATGTTATATTAACTTTTATTTTGGTCTGATAGTTCCTCTCATATGGAACATATGCAAGGCGACCAGTTTCACTTCATCACCACGAAAGTTGCAGGGGTTTGTCGAGAAGATAGAATTTTACGGCAGCTGTGGTCATATCTTATCCGATGGGGCGGCGAAGCACGCTCATCATCTTCTCCGTCGACGTCGCCTTCACCGCTCAACGCTGCGTTGTCATTGCTAGCTCGTCCTCAGAGCCCACATGTGGCTCCTCTGACATTGTTTGCGGATGCGGCAGCTATTGTGATATCGTGAGTTGCTTGAATTTTTCATAGTGGGGGGATCTGCTCCTAACACGCTTCAGAGAACGTTTATGTAATTATGCCTCGAGTTTTGCCTCAGTTAGGGATAGTAATGGATATTTCTTCTATGGGAAAAAGACAAAATTTGCAAAAATTAACCCTGAATTTTTCGACATGCGCTTAATTTTTTTGTTCTTCTCCGAATTACTTCCGCCACTTGTTACTCGCTGAAATTAACAGGATCTTGGACGAGGAAGAGCTATACGAACGTGCAGTCCCTTTCCCTGTAGAGGAACTTGTACATATAGCACGATTTTGTAATTACTTCTGCTTCCGTGCCGTATGGAGCGGATTAGTTGGTGAGGTTTTCTTATGGTCATTAGAAAGGTGCGTCCTTGAATTTTGTGTTCGAATAATTTCCTGTTTAGATGAGCGAAGTTCTAATTATGGTTTGTTTGCGAGTATACATACCCTTTGCATGGTTCTTCATGTTCGCGACAGCCGACGCTCTTTTGTCAATGATCCGAAATTTTGGCTAGCTCCGTAAGTGATCCTCCATTGCTGCAGTCCTTTGAAGCGTAGTTCCTTGATTCACGTTTCAATCGTTCAGAGACGTGAAGAGTTCTGTGCTAATGGGAGAATTCGAGAAGAAGACGTCTAGAGGCGTCCTTCTGATGCGTAAACTCAGTCATTTAATTTCACTTAAGGAAAGGATGTTGTTGTTCAGGAAGTTCGTCAGTGCTGATAAGGTGAGCCATGTTTTCTAGAACAGCATTTTATTAGGTCGCAACGAAAGTCCTGGCGGATTTCTTCAAAGTCCTGACAAACGGCTGCGCATTAACCTGGAGGGGAAATTTTTTAACCATATACAGGAATGGTAACATCCCTTCATATTTCCGAGTCTCACCTCCTGCAGGCCTTTTGGAGCCTGGAAAATGCCATAAGTTTCTACCCATGTACGCCACTGACTTCTTTGCGAATTTTGTATGGGACACAGCAGAGCGAAGCCTGCCGCAAAATATGCTCTGTGGAAGTTAGGGGGACCAGAATGGTAGGTGAAAAAACTGCAATTGGTTCAAGAAGGCTCCGCGAAGGAAACTACAACCTCGAAGATGGACGCCCAACGAAAGTTAATTTCGAACGTTTGGAGCTGTTACTTCAAGACTTTCCGCATGCAAGCGCCATGGAGCTGGCAAAGGAGATGCACTGCTTCAACATGGCCACAGGTCGTGTTCATCACATGCTGGAAAAAGTTGAGAAACTTGGTCGATTGATCCCTCATGAGCTGACAGAGCATTGCAAGAAAAGAGGTATCGGGGTGTGCGGAGGTTTTCTTGCAAGGAGTCGCCGTTTCGACTGGTTGGATAATGTAATTACTGGAGATGAAAGGTGGGGGCTCTACCTATGTCATACCAGAAGAAGACAGTGAATGGGTGCGAACCAGAAGCCAGAGCCTGTTCCAAAGCAGGAGGTTCATCCCAAGAAAGTTCCTCTGTCAGTTTGGTGGAGAGTTCGGGGAACACGTCATTACGAGATGCCAGACAATACCATCGTCGACGCCGAGGTGTACTGCTCACAACCACGAAAGGCTCGCAGTTGAAGTTGCGAAACTTCGCCCTGAGATGGACGAAGTTTTTCTTCTTCATGACAACGCGTGACCCCATGTTGCAAGGGTAACCCAGGACACATTGGCGGAACTTGGATCTGCGGTTTCACCCCATCCTCCAGGTTCGCCAGGTCTTGCACCTACGGATTACCACCCACTCCTTTCCCTGGCTCACTTCTCAAAGGATAAAAACTACGACAACTTTCAATAGCTGAAAGCGGACATGGGCACTTCTTCGACTCGAAGCCTGCCGAATTTTGAAGGAGAGGCATTTGTTTCCTTGTCGACCGATGGCGGACTGGTGTAAGTGCTTGTGGGAATTATTATTAGGAATAAAGTTCAATTCAAAGAAAGATACGAGTTTTTGAAATTGAGGGTCGAATCCGCCATTACTTTCGTTGCGACCTAATAGTTTTTATTAACTCCTGAACGTTTTGCTTTAAGATACCTTTACACTTTGAGAGTGGGTTCGGACTGCAGGAGTGAATACGGTCGGAGGGTTTCGTTCCGCAAGACTCTTAACATGTGATGTGCGTGTGAACATCGCGCGGAGGCAAAGACGCACGCGCCTGGCGAGGTCGTTGATGTCCGGCGCCGCGCGCGAGAGATCGTGTCTGATCGGGCAGCGAATCCTCGAAGTGCCGTTGAGGAATCCTCAAACTATATTTGCCCTGCTCGGAATCGTCTTGTTTTCTAATAGATTGAGTTATTTGGGTTTTGAACATGCTCCTGGATGTGTTTAGTCGAGTATCGAATCGTCGGCCACCCTCATCACAGTGGCACGAAATCGTCTCGTTGAAGACGGGTACCGACAGCTGTCCATGTTATCCACAAGAGCACTGAAATCTCGATGGTGAAATTTGTAAATCAGCAGGTAACTTCTTTCTCAATTATTAATCCTACTTTTATTCTTGTCGAGGTTTTTAGGGTCTTGATGAAGCCGGTATAGATCAAGATGGTGTGTGTTCAAGGAATTCCTTGAATTGACTATCAAGCAAGTCTTTGATCCTGCTTTGAACTTGTTTCACGTGAGTCTTATCATATCACTTTTCTGGTTTGGGAATTCTCGAATATATGTTTACAGAGCACTGCCGCCGGGGTGCTTTACCCGTCTGCGACTTCAAGTGTGCATGAGGACCATTTGGCACTATTTCAGTTTGTAGGAAGAATCTTGGCCAAGGCAGTATATGAGGGAATTGTTGTTGATGTTCAGCTAGCGCCCGTTCTGCTTGCAGCGGTGCGTGGTAGCTCAGAATGTTTTTTATTTGTTCGCGCCGTGCGTAATGGTAATAACACAATGTGTCAGATGTTGGGTGGACGACGTCTTTGTGCTTTCGATGAACTGTCACAATTGGATCCCGAACTTTACCGTAATCTTACCTTTGTGAAGAAAGTACGATGGTGATGTTAGCGATCTGTCCTTGACATTTTCTATAGACGAGGATTTTATGGGCAAGGTAATTTCCAATTCATTACTTGTTAGCTCGGAGAAAGTATTATTTTATGTTCCGGTGCCATTTAGATAAACACAGTCGATCTGGTGCCTGGTGGCAGGACGATTCAAGTCACTAATGAGAACAAGTGAGACCACCTATCATAATTTGATTATTGGCATTGCTGAAGAAAAAGGAAAAAAAAACGAATCCAAGAGATAGTAGCTGGGAGAGAAATATAATTCAATTACCTGAAAACGGGAAATAACAGGCTCAGACTCCTTGTTTTATCGCATTGTCCTTGCGTTTTCTCGTTTTACACCTACTTATCAAATGGAAATTGGTTTTCATTTTCAGAGAGAATCATTCATCAGATTTTGAACTTCCACTCTGCATCATATATTCCGCTTTACTGATTGTTAGTTGAATAAATGCCAATTACCGTTATAGAATCGATTATGTACATCGAATGGCACATCACCGTGTGTTCTCGCAGACAAAACAGCAATGTAGAGCGTTTGTTTCTGGTGCTCAATCGGTTCTGAACCCCGCATGGCTCTTCCTTTTTGCTCCATATGAGCTGCAATTCATCATAAGTGGATACTCTAGGTAGGTAACCGCTTTTTACTGTTTCCCTATTTTTCTGCATATTACATGTTTACTTCAATTGATTTTCTAATATTCTAGTAGCAATCCTCAGTGAATTACCGACATAATTCGTTCAAATAAGCTTAAGGGA